GTAGGTGTGCAGAAAAAGCCACTTCTGTAGGTGTAGTTGAAAAAGCCACTTTGAAATATGTCCTATCTAGGAAACGCTTATTTGTCTCTTTTTGAAGGGTGCAAATAATACTTTGAGGTTTCAAGGTAAAAAATACATTGTATAATGTTCACTGCCACAGTACATAATTATTGCTGAACATTAAAGTGAAGTCACTGGTTTCAGGTTATGGAGAAGAGTGCGTGTAGTAGTTCATCTATTACCATCCACAGAAGATTCTTTTTGGTTCATCCTTGGAGATAACATGGTTAGGGCTGTTGTCGGAAGCACGCAAGCATGCAGAATATGACTGTTAATTAAAATGGTAGCTTTGATCAGCTAAGAAATTATGTAAATACACTTTCTAAGCAATTATTTCAATAGCAAATATTTGCACTTAAGTAATGATTTTGGACAGAGTGCCATAATTTGCTGCCTTTTATTTATATCAGTGTGCATGTTTTAGCATAATAAACACACACAGAGTCTTCCACACGTTTTTTTTTTTCTTTACCACAGAGGAACAGATCTAGTGTGTAACATGGTGGCAAATATTTATAAAGCAGTGTCATTCCCTTTGCTGGTTAAATTCCCTGATTCTCATTATCAGTAGGCACAAAAATGTTAAATTCTACAGATACTGCACTATGTGTCTAATTTATTTACAGCAGTTATGCATGTGAAATAAACAATATTGCTTTTCTGAAGAGCAGGGAAAGGATCCCTCAGGTGGAATTAAACCTGTTACCTCAGCACTGACACAAGTTTGTCTGCAGCAGCACAGCATTTCGAGCGAGCTGGATTAGCCACCTAAGAACAGGCTCTTATTCCCTTCAACGCCGGTTTTCGGTCTTACTGGGGAGGCAGTGCTCATGTGGCCCAAACGGACTGAGCTGGTTTTTGTGCAGCGTGAAATGCTGGAGACCAGCCACCTCATGTCTGCTCTAGGTCAAGGGTCTTTACACGCAGTCATATGTAAAGGCTGTGAAATGTTCCCAGTGAATTTTTATTTTTCAGTGGCTTCTGAAGATGGAAAAATAATTCCATTAGAATCAGAGGAGTCAGCATGACACAGTCTAACAGAACAGAGCCCGTCGCAGTACAATAAATAGGAAGAACAGGATAAAATACCTTGGAGGGGGAATATATCAGATAATAAATTGATCCTCCCTTTCAGCCTGATTTTCTTTAAATGGTGGAACTTCAATCATCCATGTTTTCCGTTAACCTTATGTTTTTCCTGCAGAGTAATTGTCATGACTCCCTTTTGATACCAACGAAGATTTAATAGCAGTCACTGTAGCAAGTCATTACTAAGCTCTCATTTCTATTACCAAATATGCTACACCACAATTATTAGTAATTAAAATCAAATTAGGTACATCAATTTAATTCATCATCCGTGCTCTTGTCAGTGCCTGTTTGCTCGCTCGCTCAAAAATGTAGTAATTTTGAAATGGTGTCTCATTAATTAGTGTGAATTTAGCAGCTCTCTTCTGTCCTGTATTTTGAGCTAGAATTCTGCACTGACATGTACAGCAGCCCATCTGGTCCCATCCTTCCTTTGTGCCTGCAAATCATAGCACGGTGATTCTTTATGTTCAGTGCTGTAGAAGACTGTCTGCAGAGCAATATGCTTGCTGCTTCTCCCACCCCCCACCCACTTTCAAGAAATGAAGTCCCTGCCTTGATTTTCCCCCCCCCCCTTGTAAGAAATAGGGTAAAGAAAACGTGCACAGCTGATAAACAGTATGTATATGTGTAATACTGTGTGTAGCTACACAACGCTGTCATAGACATATTTGAAATAAGCTTGTAAGATTCAACACGAACGGAAAATGTTTGTGCAAAACCAGGCCCATAGTAAAACCAAGTCACATGATTAGAAATTGGGACATTCATTTAGCTACCGAATGCCAGGCCATGCAACTAGATCCTCTGATCCGTGAACTCACTCATATTTAGATGTGGCAGTTCAAGGGATTTAGGGATAGGAGCTGTCTGTACTCCTTAGAGCTGATGCCAATGTTTTAACCAAATTTGAAGTCAATTTAAGTTCAAATGTTGTCCTGTTAACTGTGGCGGCTGAGGAGCATGTGCCATACTCTGCTAAGTAACAGGGCATGGCTGTTCCTAAGTGTTGGCAGAATGGAGAACTATGCACTTGGGAAGATTGTTATTTCAGTTAAAGCCAGGCTTTTTTTTTCTTTTTTTTTTTTTTTTTTTAATTCTCTGCTGTTTCTTTCCTGGTCCTTTTCCTTTTTCTGCCTCACACTCTGTATTAACAGCAACTTTTAGTTATTTACTGTAGTGTCTAGCAATATATTTCTCCTCACGTTCTCTTCAGACCATGCTTGCTCTGATACGATCTGAGGTACTTATTTCTGTACTGTATTTTGAAACAGATAAAGCATGTGCCACCTGCCAAATCTACTTTTTAATAAAGTCATCAGCATATCTGGCAGACAGTTTGATTCCGTAAGACACCCAAGGAGTTTTTCCAATGCTTTCTCATGTTTTGAAAGACTTCTGAACCCTCTTTTGCAATGCTTAACTAACTTCGTCTTATGAACTACTTTGCTTTCTCAAAAATGCTCTGTACTGAAGTTTTATATCTTCATATTAGTCCTTCTTGAGGTCACGCAACTTTACCTATATTTTATATCTTAATTCCCTTGATGGAAAGGAATTGGATTGTGTCCTCTTTTCATCTTTGCGGGTGTCACAAAATAAGCTTTTTCAGATCCCTGGTTTCTGTGGAAGAGCTGGAGTTAATTGGTACCATTTCATAGACTTTAAACCAGGCTCGCATATATGTGTTTTTCAGGAATCCTCACATTGTGTTGAATATTGATCTTGCACCTACAATTCTAGATATTGCTGGATTGGATATTCCATCTGATATGGATGGTAAATCCATTCTAAAGCTTCTGGATTCCGAGAGACCAGTGAATAGGTAAGAAATGAAAGTGTGCATGGAAACATGCATGTTTGTGTACAGGAGACTGAGCAAGTATTCAGCAGCATGCAGCAAATTTAAAGGGAAAATACAACAACATTACCATCCGTATGAGTGCATCATTGACTGGAAGATGTAAAGACCTCTTTTGCACTACGTGACTGACCAGCTGTTTATTTTCATTGTGTCAGGTTCATATACTAGCTCTATGGCATCTGGATGTACTAAATGTAATCTGTGTAGCGTCGAGGGGGTTACGTGTGAAGGTCTTTAGCTATGTGAGTTATAGATTTTAAATGTCTCTCTGGCATCATTTGTAGCAAAGCATTTCGTACTGAATAAATTGGAGAATAATTGAGTTGAAAGGGTTAGTTGTGTATCAGACCGTAATATAAAGACAGGCTAGCGCTCAGAGTTGTGCAGCTGTTATCTGAGACCTTCCATCAATATGTTCATTGGAGAAAGACTGAGGAGGAGAATTAGACTGGATGCTTGCTAGAGAACATCAGCAGAAAAAGGGAAGATTATTTCCTTTACAGGTGGAGGGAGAGGGGAAAGGGAGCAGCTGCTTTAGAATAGGATACTCTGGGGTAGTGTGCAGGTTAGGAGCTCAAACTGGAGTCAGGAAATCCTGATTGAATTTGCAATCCTTTGTGATCAAGGACAATTCAGTTAATCCCCTGTGCCTTAAACGTGCTTATGGTAAATAGTTGTGCTGTGTGAATCTGTTGTGGATTTTGTCCCTGTGAGAACAAATCTGCCCTGTGTTTGTCCATGATTTGCACTGGAGAGGCATATGTGCTTGCTTCGGAAAGCTGGATGTCCCCTCGTGCAGTTACTTGGAATGTTTCTCGTCTGCATGGGGGGTGGGAGAAAAAACTGGGGCATGACTTGATTACTTGTTTTGTGAGAGCTGCTTCTTCCTCTCCTCATTTCCTCCTAGGTTCCATTTAAAGAAAAAGATGAAGGTGTGGAGAGACTCCTTCCTGGTGGAAAGAGGGTAAGGAAAGTGTTAATCACAAAGCCCAGTCTTTTTAAACAGAAGGATACTGAATAGCTAAAGCCCAGGCAGCACTCTACCACAGACCTGAAGCCATTTAGCTGTGCCAGCAGGGATACGGCTGCGGTATGCCTAATGGCAGTGATTGTGTGATAGGAGGGAATGTATGGCCTTTGCCTACAGCGTGCATAAATGTGCTGTTGGAGAGGGGGAAGGGGAGTTTTACTTGGATTGAGAGATGGAAAGGCATCCCGTTTTTCTTTCAGCTTCTGCTCCCCGACCCTCCTGCTTTTGTCATGGGAGTATGAATAACCCTTCCTCCCTGCTGGCCATTCCCTCTACACCTCTGCCTTAGTAACACAACACGGGCATGGAGGGTTTGCAAGTGCAGCCCTGTAGAGTGAGGAGGATATGGCCTCTCTCTATCGACCATTGTTACTGCCTGCCAGTCAGACATGAAACACACTGTCTTGGTTTGGTATGTTTTTGTACGCTCCCTGAGAGCATGATAGGAATAATCTGTGTGTTATTAGAGATGATAATAAGTGCTAGCTTCTACTGGACTATCAAGTTTTGGCCACCAGTGATGCTATGGACTTGGCAGATAACCTACTCCTTTGAGCCTTTTCAGCAAACTGTATGTATATCTTGGAATTAATTTTTTTTCTTTTCCAGTAAACTGCTGCATAAGAGGGAGAATGAGAAAGTAGATGCCCAAGAAGAAAACTTTCTACCGAAGTACCAGCGTGTGAAAGACCTCTGTCAGCAGGCTGAATATCAAACAGCTTGTGAACAGCTTGGCCAGGTAGGGCATTGTACCCCTGACTTGAAACAAGCAGTTGTAGTTGGGCTAAGCTTCACTGTGGATTCACCTAAGGAATCACCTTAACTGTGACAATGTCCTTCACCTTGTCACCAGTGCCAGCTTATAAATCAAATTTTATGAGGTCGACTGTCAGTCAGGAAATTGCTGATTCAAGTGCCTTTGTATTGATTCCTGACTACTATTAAGAGAACTGCCTAGGGTGTTTTAACATTTTATTCCCCAAATAGAATCTGGTTTGGGATTCATTAGTGTTGGGAGGCTACGATGAACCTAACAGATTGGCCTCCTCCAAATACGTAGAGCTCCCTTTGATCTGAATTCTTAATTTAACTCATCTTGTCGTTGTTATTTGGAATTGCATATAATAATGGGAAACACATTCTGTGAACTCACTATATCCCTGCTCTTGGCTGCAGGCAGTCTGTGTATGTGGGCACAAAGCTCATTGATTGTGTGTAGTTTCTTGTTACATAACTCTTCTGGGCAGATAGGACAATGTGTTCACTTTCCATCCAAGTCATGTAGAAGAAATTCAGGAAACCATATTTAGAGTGGTATCAATATATGGTCTCGGCGCAGAAGAGGGTTTTGCAAATTTACCAGAGCAGTGCAAAGGCCTAGCAAAGCCATCTCCAGCAGCTCTGCTCTTGCAGAGGTTTCTCCGCTCTTGGGGGAATTCTCATCCTCTGGAAACATAGCAAAATTGATCCCATGCCATTGCTTTCTCATCCAGGTACCGGTCAGAGTACCCCCTTCCAAGGAGTGCAGCACATTCTGCCCAGGGACTGTGGACAGAGGGGTGAAGGTAGATGGGCCCACGTACTGGTGTGTCTGCTATTAGACGGGCATTACCTCGTGTCCTGGCAGCTCCGAGGCTGTCAGAATAAGTCAGTCTGTGGACTACAACTGTTCTTGCAGACATGATCTGAATATCTTACCAAGGCCACAGACAGTAAGAGGTTACTTAGGCTGCAGTAGTTCATTTTCTGCTGTGGGAAGCCAGATTCTCTGCTTCTGGCTCTACTGATCGTGTAGTTCAGTGCACCTGTGAAATGAGTCCATTGTTCCTTAGGTGTTTGGTTCCAATTTGTATGTAGACGCATGTTCCAGATGCTCTCTTCCTCCTGTGACTTCTTTGTCAGATTCAGTATACAGAGAGCTTATAATGTCCTGTTCTCCTAAAAAAATGGAACTGCAGTAGTTTATTGTCATGAGATGTCTTGAGCTGAAATTTTAGATGGGTGGGAGCAAGCCATTGTTTTTCTGAATTTGCAATGTTCTTTGAGAAACTGGGGGAAAAGTCATTGTTTCTGCTACAGCATCATCCTGTAAGTAGTTTGGGGAAATACAGCTTTTCTTTTTCCATCAGTATTCTCCCTTTGAGAGATGTTTCAACTTCTTCCTTTTGTTTTCATCTTCCCAATTATTTTGAACATTATTTTAAGAACAGAGGGGAAGAGAGACTTTCCAAGTCCAGGTTGTCACTGAAGCTGTCTCTTTGCATAAGGTAACTTAGCTACATTCAGGCTTTCTTACTCTAATTACCACATGTCTCTGTTATGGAAGAAAGGGGGAAGGCCCTGTATTGTCTACACACATTCACAGGCTTATGTTTCCTTCCGTGGATAATAAAGTATCTTTGACATCTGTAAGAAGTGGGCATAAAATGTCAACTCCGTACTCAGAATTGCCAATAAATTCTGAAGTGAAGGTGTGCTAATAAGAGATGTCTGTGTCGCATCCTCATTGTCAGGAGACAGAGAAGAGAAGAATTGTTTTGAGCAGTTCAGTCAGACATAATTGGAAGTGATAGGATGAAATTGAGCAAAAAAGAAATTTAAGTTGGACATCAGGAAAAATTGCCAAACAATCAAGTCAATTAGAGTCTGGGAAGGGCTCTCAAGGGAGCCTCAATCCATCTAACCCCTGCTCTAGAGAATATGTCCTATGCAGGAATAGTGGGAGATGAATGTGCTTATTTGAGGATAAATTGTGTCTAAATATGGATGCACCCAAAAGTCTTTTCAGAGTGAAGCAAGTCTAACTTCTCAAATGACAAATGGGTGTTGTCTGTTTGCTGGTGCTGTTCACAGCTCTGCATAGTAAGTAGAATGAGCCCAAATTAATAACATACCACTGCCTTGGGGGAGTTTATGGTATACAGGAACAGTGGTTATTTAGCAGATGTCTCCTTATCCTGCAGGACACTTATTACTGCATTTAGCAGTGTCTGGGGTGTTTAGTGCAAAACGTGAATTTTCACATCCTGATACAAAGATTAAGAGAAGGCTGGGTCAGAATGTAGGTAAAATGTTGCTAAAGTGACTGAAACTCTCTTGCCTCAGACAAGTTTTGGGGACCTGCTATTCCATGCACAGAGAAGTCTGAGCAGTGCCAGGGAATCTGAAGTGTGAGCAGGAGACAAGAAGGACAAATGGGGGACAAAGACTCAGAAGGGGAGTGAATGAGAAGAGACAAGGACAGAGCTTAGAGTAAAGGAGAGGGAAAGAAAGCTTTGAATGTCAGATGGAGAATTTGAAATTCTGCTTTGTGAGTGTGCAGGTTTGTGAACACAGTATTGCCATAAAATGCTCTTCCTTGGTAAATCTGTCACCCTCCTTGACCTATAATCGTTTTGATAAGAGAGCACCAGGATCATGGAGATGAGGCTATTCACACTGTTTAAAACCTTGTTTCAGAGTCCATTATGTGGGATTTTTTTGGCAACACTAATATATGTAAATTCTTCTGAGTGCAGTTGAGAATCTGTGTGTTGCCATGTTTTCTTTTCCAGTTAGTAGGGTTTGGTCTGTGTTTAGTTGTTTGCATCCAACAAAGGGTGACTGTAGGCTCAGATGAAAGAGCAGCTCAGCATTTATATTCAAGGATTTAAAAGAGATGAGCTCTTTCTTCCCACATGAAATAAAAAACATTTATCCTAGTACCTAATGGCTTCCACACAAATTCTTTTCTCTTCAGTGTAGTTTGGCCTTTCATTCTAAACTGGCTGGTAAGTGGAAGCTGACCCACTTTTATCTGACGGCCTGCATTAATGTGCTTTTGTGAAAGCCAATTATGATATCAGCATTGCTCTGTAGAGAATCAGCAACTCCACAGTATCATAACAACAGCTGCACAAAATCTCCCTCTAAGTCCTTTGCCAACTTTGTGCACATTTGTTAAACATGGAATACCTGCAGCACTGCTGATTGCTATAGGGAATCTATGATGAGCATGTAAAATTACAAAAAAAAATCCAGTTTCCCCTTTAGCAGGACCTGGCATAGTACAATAATATTGCTAACTTGTGAAGAAAAACAGTTGTCTGAATTCACCTTATTTACTTCTCCAATCCTTTTTATTTTCAAAGCTCTATTTATGTGAAAATCTGGTACAATTAGAATTTCCCTTTAAATAGCTTAAAACCATTAGGGTTTTATAGGACAATTTTCACCAGGAGAACATTCAAAATGCAAAAATTTGCACATTGTTTCCTTTGGATGTTCTGCAAATGAAAGGTTTGATACACAGTTTTACATTGCTTTTTGCTGTATCAGGACCATAAAGAGAGATTTTCTTTTGTAACTGGTGAAGGGCTGGAGCACCTCTGCTATGGGGACAGGCTGAGAGAGTTGGGCTTGTTCAGCCTGGAGAAGAGAAGGCTCTGGGGAGACCTTATTGCAGCTTTCCAGTACCTGAAGAGGCTACAAGGAAGCTGGGGGGGACTTTTTACAAGGGTCTGTAGTGATAGGACAAGGGGTAACGGGTAAAAATTGAAAACAGGGAGGTTTAGATTGGATATCAGGAAGAAGTTCTTCACGGAGAGGGTGGTGAGGCAGTGGGACAGGTTGCCCAGAGAAGCTGTGGATGCCCCATCCCTGGAAGTGTTCAAGACCAGGCTGGATGAGGCTTGGAGCAACCTGGTCTAGTGGAAGGTGTCCCTGCCCATGGCAAGGGGGGTGGAACTAGATGATCTTTAAGGTCCCGTCCAACCCAAACCATTCTATGATTCCGTAAGTACAAGTATGTTGCTTACTCGATTGATCCTCCCAGTTCTGTGACACAGATGGCACAGCAGTGATGAAAACCGTTCTGATCAATGTGTGCTTTCCTGCAGCTGTTCATAAGTGGTACCACTAGATCATATTCCTGCTACTGTAATCGTTATTAGCCATTGCCTAGTGCCAAGGGTGGAGCAGTAGGAAAAATTACTCACCATTTCTTCTTGTCCTGAGGATACTGTAGCTTGAACTTATATTGGCCAGACCTAGGAAGCTAAGTCAGGTTTTGTAAGGAGTGTCTTCAAAAACTGGGAAGAAAGTTGCTGATCTGTGTATCTTGCATGGTTGTCCAGTTCCTTTGCACCTAGCAGAGATATCCTGAGGTTACTAAAGAATTCAGGTTCTGTTGATAAGTGAAGCATATCAAGCCAGCTAGAATCCACATAATTTTAATAGCTCATCAGGCAGATCTTTGGAGTTCCTGAATTCCAGTGCGAGTTGCACATGCTCAGCAACTTTCAGAATCCAGTTCTTAATCTGTAATTGCAACAAGAAATGACTTGTTGATAACTTCATGCATTAAAAATTTCATCAGCCCTCAAACTGATAACATTAGGAAGCAACAGACCATGAAAATTAAAATAGTGATGATTTATTAGGGCTGTTATTCAAGGATTGTATTTCTTATCAGGAATTGTAATTAACAAAACTGTTTTCCTCTTTTTAGCCAGAAATAGTCTATAATGATTTCCAGAGGCTGTTTTACTTACAGGTTTTTTTTGCTTGTTGTTGCTTCACAAAACTAAGAAATTTGTGTATCTTGTTAACTGAGATTTTTAAACTCATTACAGGAGTGCATGGTGCAAGCAGCTTGCCAAAATCATTGCCAACATTTAATAAAACCAGCAAATTTTTCAAATATCCTGACAGGAGTGGCAGAACAACAGTGAGGTAGAGGTCAGGAGACTGGCTTCAGTC